AGTATGTGTTAGCATCCAGAAGTGTGTCACACTGGGAGCTGTACAAGTAGACCAGAGTGAGGCAGATACCCCTTAAGCTTCTGAGATATTCTACTGCAGACTCATTCCAAAACTCTGGCACATTTGCAAAAAGCTTTTTTCCATCTCAATGTGTGCAAATTTTTCCTGGGTTTATATTAAAATACCAAGACAGGTTTTTTCCCCAATTTCAGATGTAATTTTAGCAGCTAAGTACTTTTGTACAAACTGTCTTTTTCTTTTTTTATAGAGAGGATAAAAAGCTGAAAGATTACTTGGACAGAGGAGGGATGCCAGGGTCTATAAGAATCACTGTTACATACCATATTCTCTGTGTCATCTGTTTGCTTACAAGTGCTGGATTCATAATGACCTGTGTGAATTCTAGATAGCAAGTCAGTCTTTTTATGTTTTAACTTGATTTTTTTTCTGTGTTGAAATTTGATTAATTTACCAAGAGCCCTCAAAACCCTTACATACCCCCACAGCTATCCCTAAACTCTGACAGCATGAACAGATATACATGTACATCCCCCAGAACCTGTATGGCATGTTTAAGATATTTCTCTTCAGTAATTTTCTGTTTAATCTACGGTATACTTCCCCTGTGTAGTAAAGAATTTTTGTAATTAATGGTTACATTCAAACAGAATGGCTCAGGAGAGACAAAAGAATTTTTAGGACAACTGTGTCAGACTGGAAAGGAAGTATGCATCAATAATTCCCTTTCACATTTGATACTTCAACTAGTATTAACTTAAAAGTCCAAATGCAAGTTATTAAGCAAAAAAAAAAAAAAAAAAAAAAAAAAAAAAAAAAAAAAAAAAAAAAAAAAAAAAAGAACAAAATTATGAGCAACCTTGCAGGGTTAGCGATGAACCGAGAATAAGGACATTTGGGTTCAATTTCGAACTCTTCCTTTGCCAGTATAGCTTTGGGCAGTTTATTTGTTCTTCAGTTCCTTATCTATTTAATGAGGATATTAATACTCGATTAATTCTACTCCTTGCCTGCATGCTTTTTGAAGGCCTCCTGAAGGTTTCTGTAGTAGAAATTATTACTTCTGGTATCTGTAAATCTCTCAGCAAAATGGAGGTCTGCTTTTTGTTGAAGACATAAAAAGAATTAAAGGAGGGAATCACAGTCAGATCTTACATCTACCATAGACGTGGCAAGAACTGCTGTTCAGTATCAGTAATATGGGCTATACAACATGTAGTGCTTTTAATTAAGGAACTGACCACTGAGAGCTGACAAACATTGGGATAGCTGTAACAGATCTAGTTAAAAGTCTACACAATAAAACATCTCCCTGCCAAAAAAAAAAAATAAAAAAATAAAAAAAATAAAATTAAGCATTGCAAATTTTCACTGAGAAAAAACATAAACAGATATCAGTACGATTTCTTTTAACAAGTGAAAGTTTGACTAAAAATGTTAAAATGAAATGTTGTGTCATTTTGAAATCATAGATTTTTAGAGCTTTTAGTTTTTTAAAAATATTATACCTTTCCCATTTTTTATCCTGGTTTCTGAAAAAACAGATGTTGATCTACTGAAATTTCTTGTCAGATAAATATTCTTTCTGTGGTTATCTATGTTAAACAACAAAAGTTTAAGACTCATTTGGTTTTGTTTTGGGGTTTTTTGTGGGCTTTTCAAAAATCAGGTGTTTGCTCAATATTGAATCAAGACAGTTCAAGGCATTCCAAGTATAGAAACTGCTTATGTGTTGTATTATTAAAGTACACTTTTCTTGACTAGAAATAGTTGCTGCAAGTGTGGAAAATCTTTCCACTATTCATTATAACTTCCCTGATAATGCAGATGGTTCGATCTCTAATTCACAGTTTATCTAAAGAAACAGTTCAATAGACTGAACTGAAATACATGTGTTTTCAGCATCAGAACTTTACTGAATAGTATCTTGAAAGAAAAGGAAATTACTAGTTTTACTTGCTTTAGAATTGGCAGAGAAAGCCAAATACAGCTGCTGTGCAAATGTTTAAAGTAAATGATTAAAAATGTCACTAAGAGTTCTAAGTCACAGTAAATCATTGACAGAAATGTCTGCTAAAGACAACAAACATCCTGTATCGTGCAATACCTTCTCTCTCAGTATCACACACTCCTTAGAAAATAATCCACTATTCTTGCTATATGTATGTTTCTATTATAGGGATAAAAGAAACAAATAAACCTATTGTTTCATTAGTGTACTGGATACATTTAAAGGCTGCTATGCTTGCTTTTTCTAGTATGTTTCTTTTTTTCCATAAAGCACAACCTAGCACCAAAAAAAAAAAAAAAAAAAAAAAAGAGCACACTATTCTGAAAAGGAACTGTTCTTCACAAATTACAATGAAGGAAATATTACTTGTCATGTAATATATATCCTAACAATATAGACATTTATAAGCATGAAATATCTCACAGGGAAAAAAAATCCAGATGATTGTATGCTTCCTATTTCAATATATATCTGCATTCTGTAAAGAGTTTACTGTAATCATGACTTCATATTCTGTTTCTGTACCCTAAAGATAAATATGTTCCTGGATCAAGTAAAGAGCTAGACATCATGTATTAACTAAAAAATGAACATATTTAATGTAGTAGAAAGCTTGGTAAGTGTCTTGAACCTAATAACAGTGATGACTTTCATAAGATCAGTGATATTTTAAAGGAATTGGTTTAGGATATTTTTTTCTAAGTTGTTGGAAAAATCGACAATACCTAGTAGCAATGTTAATACTGTCACAAAAATAACTAAGGCAATGAATGATTTCAATAAGAATATACTTCTCTTGGATTTGGAGACCACTAATAAAAGTAAACTTTTGCATACTCTCATAATTCTTCACTAACAATGTATCTGTACAGTTGCATGATCTTTAAGAATGTAATTAACCTATTTTGTTGTCCTAATTACAAGGAAAAAGGATTCACATGGGAAAAAGGAAAAATTCTTTTGTTTCGAAGGGAAATACATATTATGCCTGAAAGCTAATAAATCTGTTGCCTTAACAATTAAAGAGCCTGGTTTTATAAAATTTTCAAAATTTATTCACTTGAGTAGTTCTTACTCATACAAGTTGTCCCATTGATTGAAAATAGAACTACAGATATGAGGAGAGATTTGCAATGGGAAACATGAATTTAGGATGCAGTCCTTGCTCACCTAAAGAGCTGAGGGAACTATTTCCGCAAGTAAGAGCTTCTTTCTGCAACGAAGATTGGAAGATGTCATTTATGAGTTGTGTTGTCCTTCCTCAGTTCCCTTATTGGTTCTTATACTAGTCACACATTTTAGATGGTAACATACACAAAAAAATCTACATCAATGCACATATATGCATATTTTCAACCTTTACTTCTAAAATGAAGGCTGGTTCTTCTGAACCCTACTGAAAAACTGTCACACTACAGGAATGTATTTGTATTGCCTCTCCTCCTACTGCAGGGCTTTGAAAAAGCTGCATAACCATTCACTCTCTCCATAAGAGTTTGTCTTACGGAGTCCTTCATCATACAAGGAGTACATGTATTGGGAATTACCACAAAATTCCATCTTTTTAATAGGATTTAAACTCTGATTCTTGTTCATGAGTCCTGGTGTGGTGTGGCCTGGCTTTTTTACTTTGGATCTTTGCATCCCTCCCACCCTTAAAACCTGCTGCTGGGAACCTGTCACCTCCATACCTAGCTAGACAGCCTGTGATAACTACCACACAAACCCACTCCTGGTCCATTTCTAACCCCATCAAAAGCAGTAGGATTTGACAGGGATTACCCTCAGAGCAGGGGCAGGCCCTTACCGCAGTTTACTCCTCAAGAGGCAAACTCAGTGATCAACTAGAATGCATAAGAAATACATATATTTCACATCACCATTTTTTCATCTTTTAGTTCTACACTGATTTCTGAAACAGAGAGCCAAGCAAACCAGGTTTTCTGGAAAACTAACCCGTTCTTTCATCTCAGTACACTCACTATATAATTCCTGATCTGCTTAGCAATTTCCTGATAATGACCCTAAATTTTGGTACCTCGGGTAGTTAGTTAATAATATCACTTTATACTCCTCTAGCACCTTTCATCCAGGAAGGTGAAAGCACATTACAGCTGTTAATGAAAAGTATCTCACAACATCCACTGAAGCCTTTTATAATAATTCTCAACACCCTGCATGACAAAAATTACTTGATATGAGAACATCTTGTACTGGGTTTGCTTATTTTACAACTTGGGTCATATCAAGAGTAACACTGTCATAATTCACAGTGGTCACTTTTGGGCTTTCTAATGCGTGTAAAAGGATCCACCTTCCACTGTATCTAAAACACAGCATCCTGGTCTGCATTTGATATTTGTTTCTTACAGGAAACAAAATAAAGTAAGTATTTTTGTACCCGCAGTTTTTGCAGACATTCAAAACCCTTTTATATCTTTTATTTACCCAGATAATACCCGTTCAGAACTATTGTTACGTTGATACAGGATTTCTTTTACCTTCTATTTTTGCCTTCTAGCGGTCAGTGCATGACTGAGGTGCAGGAAAGGTATAGCACCATGACCCCAGAGAGACAGACAGAGCGAGAGAAAGAGGAGGCAGGAGGAGGGGAACACAGGGAGGGAAGAAAAGAGACATGTCAAAGCAAATTCATAAACATCCTCTTTAGCATGGAAATATGTACAATACAGCTACTGATGTTCCAGTCCAAGTGCAATTGACAGCACAGGTGTGCACAAACACACATACGCACATATACACTGTCACAAAGCAAGGGAGAAAGACAGAAATGATCTTACAAAGCTGCTGCAGTAATCAGGACACTTGCTCCTGGAAACAACCATACAAACAAACATTCTTTTGTTAGCTTTCTACATTTTTTCAATTTTCATTTGCTAACTGCTATTGTTTTTACCTCTCACCATAACAGAAATATGGTTATTATTAAAAGGAAGGAAAAAGGCCTTACCATGCAGTGCATCAGGAAGAGATGAGAAGCACAGAGCATGCTGCAGAGATTAAGCTCAGCATGGCATTCAGATATCCTTTGGAATTGAAGAAAATTGTCCAACCCATTCTTCCTAACAAATCGGACAAGTTTTCTCTAGGCTTGAATTTTTCACCAGAAATCAGATCCTTACAGTGCATTATATTTTCTTCTTCAGGAGATATATTTCCTCCAGTTAAGTTTCAGCTCCGCAATGCCATTTCCAATCAGCTCTAAGAAGGTCTTCATTCCCAGATCCGTGGTGTCATCAGAGAGACTCCAAAGAAAATCAAAGAAAGAAAGAAAAAAAGAAAATAATACCTTACCAAAGCCCTGAAATTATTATGCAGAAAAGGAGAAGGAAAAAGGAAAAAAAAAAAAAAAAAGCCAAACAAGCCCCCATTTATTCTATTATCTACGTGTTTCACAACAATCAGTACTACCTCTTTGGTCTCATATATGCAGTGCTGATTACTTGTAATAAAGGAAGAGGCAAAAACTTTCCCAATTCACACATGATGCATTTTCATTACTGCTGCTCAACTGTGCACTACCAAACAACCCTTCTCATCCTGAGGAATCCTTAAAAACATCTGACAAAAGCATCACCTGTCCTTTTCTCTTCCCAAAGAACATATTAGAATTTCTAGAAGGGTGTTGGAGAAAGCTTGACAAATAACCCCAAACCACAAATTAGATCTAAAAGCAAAAACCTCAAAGCAGGAGAGTTCTTGAGCAAGGAGATACCTTGCCTGAAAAATTTGGGGACACACACTAACTCATGGTAGGGATGGAGAAAGGGATAAAGAACAATGGGTAACAGAGGGTTTGGAGAGGATGAGGTGGGACCGAATGAGTCTCAGGCAGGAGTGGGATCCTGAGTCACCCTCAGCCTCCTGCCTCCTCGCTGACAGCAGCTCGGGTTTCCCCTGCACTTTCTGCAAAGCATATTAATTGATTCTGGTTGCTGAGCAACTAACTCTGGGGAGCCACATCGACGGCTCCGGCTTCGGCACAGCTTCAGCAACAGCAGCAGGGAGAGGGGACGGTCTCCCCTGCCTCACTCCTCCTCCTGGGGCTCGCTCACCCTCCCCAGGTTGCCTTCAGCTGCCCTGCAGGAAAGCTTTGCAAGGAAAAGGAAAAAGCCCCCGTTAATGTATCAGGGAGAGGAGGTGGGTTGTTCCCCCCACCCAGTGAAGCATTGGCAGGACTCAGGCGAGCAGCCCCATTTCGTGCTGACAGCACCGCTGCAGCCCCAGAGGGCATCCTCAGCCCTGCGTGGGGTGTTAGGGCTGGGGGGGTTGGCACAGCCCTGGGAAACCCACCCAGGCCTGGTGAGACAGGTGAACGGTGTGGTAAAGCTGGGTTAACTCTCTAGTCCTCCAAGCACACTTCAAAGATGTTAAAATCACAAGTTATGCCAAATCATGGGTTCAAAAGTGAGTTTCCAGTTGAAGCTGTGGCCACTTAAGCTCTGTCCCTGTAATAATGGGGTAAATGTATTATTTATTTCTGACCTCTTTATCATGTTGCGCTTCAGACAAAGCAGGCATTTCTCTGGCTGAACAGGTACACAGTAAGCCAGAGCCACCATCCAGAGGAATTGCCAGGACATCTTTGTCAGAGACTGCAAAATGGAGCTCTCTGATATAACCTTGTTGTTGCTTTAACTGATGCTGTGTTTAAATTCCTCATAGGAGAGAAGCAGCAATGAGACCGTTTGGTTTTGACCCGTAAAAGATACGGGATAACTGGGTAACTGGAGCTGGCTCCAAGGGGCTCCCTCCTAGAGTGCCTTGACTGATGGTTCCATAAGACAGACACAGAAGATTTCTGCAAGGTTGATGCCAAGTGGATGGACCCCGAACAGGACCTGATCACTGCAATTTGTGGCAGGGCTTCCACTGACTTCTGCAGCTCTAGAGCCTGAAAAAAAAACCCTCCAAAACACCCCAGTGTCTGAAACAAGACATTTCTCTTGTGCTCTCATTTTGGAGAAATCCTTAGATCGTGGCATTTGTTCAGCACTAAGCTGTCTTTCCGTTGCACAGGTAAGATGTAAGAAATGAAAAGACATCAAGATTTCTCTCCCTGTGACCTGGCAGTAAGTGCAATATCAGATCTTGGACAAACTGCTCACGCGTGGTTACTGTCAAAGACCTGAGCTAGATCAGCTCTTTATTCTGTTATAGTGATAGAACAAGTTAAAGATCAAGGTTCTGAGAACTGCCTTAGCTTGCAATCACTTAGAATTATCTAATTCTCCCTTTAAAAAACTCCAACCTATACCTTGTGTGCACTATCTAAATGGCAAACACCGGGTCTTTGTGAAAAGGTGACAGGTTATCTTAAGCAAAGGAGTAACTTTTCTGACAGTAGCTTAGCTCCACCATACTCTGCTTTCATGTTTTATAAAGAAAGATCTACAGTTTAGTCTCATTTTCTTGCAAAAGCCAGATGTTTCACGTATATTCAAAGCTCAGGAAGGACCATCAGATCAGGTTAGCAGAGCTGCTGTATGAAACATTGCAGAACATAGTCAGTTTATCCAATATGTCTACTGATATGAGCATATACTGGGGGTACTCCTAATCCACCAAGTACAACATACAGAGAAATGTGGGAACTTCAGTATTGATATAGTAAACGAAAGTCATTTAGCCTCCTACCAACAACAGATTACAGCAGGATAATTCTAAGGAAGAGATCCTGTAGCTCACCTACTCCATGAAAATGTGTCTCCTGAAGTCTTCTAACATACTAAACATAGATTAAATACATTAAAACACACTAAAACCACACATAATAAACACAGACTCTTCTTGACTTACATGATTCATGTAGTTAATTTGGTATCACTGATTCTCCCTTTATCTCTTATGACTCTTTGGACATTTCTTTTGACTATCTCTCATAGTACTTCATCTTTTTTCCTGGATAGGAATAAATCCAACAAGGTTTCCTCTAGCAGTGGTTGATGCAGAAAATGTATTTTGTTGTTTGTCACTGCTCATATATGACACTGCTTCCTTTAGTCCACAAGTTTACTTGCAACAAAGTGCTGAAGAATGACAAAAAGCGGGGTTTAAAAGGGAGCTAACCCACCTCTGTTTTACAGCAGGATCAATCATACACATGATTCAAACCACAACACTAGCCCTGGGAAATGGCTTTCTAACCAATGCCTAACAAGACTCCTTTCAGGAAACTTCATGCTTTTAATGCCTCATTACTGTAACTAAAAAACCCAGCATTTCTAAGCTTCATTGCTGCAAAGTGTAACACACTATTTCTTGTCCTATTGACAATGATCAAGGGAAAGAGCTCCTCCATTCCTTGTTGCAACTACCTTTTACGTATATAAAATTTATTGTATCTCTTCTCAGTTTCTTCCCTTTCTAGATCAAAAACTTTTCTGAGACTTGACTCTTTTGTCACTTTTTAGGGAATGGTTCATCACACACTGACTTCTGGATCACAACAGTACAGAAAACTGAGTGTGAAATTACATGTGTATAGAGATGCACATTAATGCATGCAAAAGTAAAAAATAACAGACAGTGTCTGACTTAGGAAGTGAGTCACATAACATAGGAACAGGGAAACAAGGGGAGGACTCCATCATCCTGCTGTGACAATAGGGTTAAAATAGTGTTTAAATATTCATTTTTCCTTTCTGAATGAAATGGGGTGACAAAGTAGAAAATTAAATACAGCTAGGTTGTGCGTGTCACTCAATGAGTCCTTCCAACCTGTGGAATAAGATGGTTCAATTTAAGGGCATAAGGGAAAAAAAAGACTACTTTTTCCTTTGAATTTGTATTATGATTCATGAAATACTAAATAGAAGAGGGAAGCTAGTACAAGATCTCAAGTAGATAGTACATGAAAAATACAGAAATAGAGAAAATATTAGGGGGAGTAAGTGCTTAGGAGTGATGAAAGCCTGGAAAATATATGAATGTTTAGACTAAAGGAACAAAGGGAGGTGGAGAGATTTCCCAGATACTTACAAAGACATTAAGTCTACATGAACACATTTCACCACACATAGTAAAGAAAGATTTGTTTCAACATAAGCTGTAGTTGTTTTATCTTTTCCACTTTTACTCCTTTACATTCATACTGGTGCCTGTTTTTATCTGCAACAGTACAATCTTTAAAAAGTGTGACAACAGATTATTAATATTTTAATGTGCCTTGTTTTGTACTTTATTTTTACAAGGAGGAATACCAAACAGTTTTGAAGCTGTCCGTATTGGAGCACATATCATAGAAAGTGCTAAGGAAGGACAGTTGAAGGGTAAAAGTGATAAAACAACCAACCACAGAAAGGAAGCAAGTCAACAACTGGTGATTTCAAAATGAAAGCAAAGTGACATGTAAGAAAGAGCCACCAGATTATGAAAAGAAATTGTAGGAGAGGTAGGTTTGGAGATGTCAACATTTGATCAATTTTTTAATTTATTTTTTTTTTTAGAAAATGCAAGGCTACTTAGAAAAAATTCAGTCTCTTACAGAAAGCAAGTGCAGTATCACACAAGGCTTGAATTTAATCTCATATAAATGCTTTTCATTATGCATTGAAAAGGCTGACTAATGCACATGTTCTGTTCCTATTCCATCCTTTATTTATCTTTTCTCTTCCCACTTTTCTATCCTTTCAATAGTAGCATTATCCTTTTTGAGAAAATTAGTATCCTGCAAGCCTAAGAATCAGAGCAAGCTAGGACCCAGTGAGCCCTCCAATACACCTTGGTTACTGCAGCTGAATCAGACCAGCAGCATCCCTCCATATTCAAGCCCTGTAGCCACATAGGGCCCATACTACAAGACCGTGGGCATCAAAATCACAGGGAGGTGCAACAGGGCATGGAAAATGGTTGGGCAGAAGCCCATTTCGGATCTTAGACCAGCTCCTCTGTGTTGCTGAGGCCTGATAAGAGAAAAGCCCCAGGGAGAAAAATGGGAAGAAAAAAAGACCCTTCTGTCAGTATGTTCTAGTCCAGGGTATAAGAAAGGACCAAGTGGAAGGATGACATGTGAAGAAAGTGAGGGCTTTCAGGAAGCACAAAGTGGTGGCCCAAGGTAGGGAAACGGTTTCTCCTTCTAGCTGGGTGTGGATGCTGGTGCTGCAGGGAGGGCAGCGAGGGTGGACAGGGTGGACGGGCTCCTTACTGTGCTGGGCAGTTACTGTCCCCTAGCCTGAGGGAGAGCAGAGACCCCTGGGGACTTGGAAAATGTGGGCACAGGCTGTCAGGCTTTAAGCTGAAGGTT